CGTGAACCATAGTTCACGGTGTATATTTGAGAAAATTTTGTTCTGGATAGTTGGCCGTGATTTTTAGTTCACGGTCCGTTCCCGTTTTCGGGAACGGATTTTTTTCCAAGTACCGCAAATAAAACGGTTTTACACGGCTCGGCTCGGAAGTCAAGATGGCTTCCGAGGCTAATAGTAAATGATCCTCGATCGTCCTTCAGGGACGATTCCCTCAGGCCGGTGGCCTTAATTGCCAAGGAGGGTCCCGTCTCGGCTCGACCAAGGTGGCCATGCCACGGTCAGCCGATTTTGTCAACGACGGAAGACGCCTGCCAGCCAAACGAGCCAGCAACGCCTGCTGAGCCGTATGTGGCTGATGAACGCCACCAGATCCGCCATTCTCCCGAAGCTGCAACAATACTGTTTGCAGCCCGCGCCGCAAGTTTTCGGCCACACGGTAGTGCAGGAGCAGCCGTGTGAGCCAACGCCAGCGTCGCGACGCCGTAGGAGATCCCACTGCAGCAGTGAGTACAGTGCAAATTTTAACTCGCATACACGCCACATATAAGTGAAAACCCACACCCACACGCCACAGAATATTTAGGGCAAATAAATGTGTTATAAAATGTGAATATTCCTGTGTTTCATACTTTGTCCGCGTAGCCCCTCCGAATACCCAGTAACATGCCGGCCCTGCGACACAGTTCAGGGGTCTCATGCTACTGAGTTAGTTACCCGGGAGTGTCTGGTCATGCCATAGTCACAAACCTTTTCTGTATTGCTTTCCGTTTTCGATCGTTTTTCACTGACACGTAATCTCTCTGGCCAGACATCACCCGACTTGTTTCATCGTCCTCAAAAAATTGAACAACAAGCTCCTTCGTTGTATCATTTAAACCATGGTCCGATCTTCTGTGAACTGCTGAATGTGCTACTTCGTGTTTAAATAATTCTTTAGCTCTTGTTGCGAGGTACCTTGTGGTGTTAAATTCATCCATTATTTTTTGTATTGTCCATGACTTGGGCAACACAGTTAAAATCTGTAGTTTCTCACTCCTTGTGCTATCTGGTCTGCCAATTTTTTCTTTCAATTGAAGAATTATTTCTTCAAAATCCTGTGTTGCACTTGTTTGGTCCTCCTGCGGTACTAGTTGGAAAAGATGCTTCCTCATTCCTTGGTTGATTTCCTTAATTTTATGTTCAGGATAGTAAACGTTGTTTGACTTCTTTGCATCAATCGGTGAAACTTGAATCCCAACCATTCCTCGGTTGAATGTTTCGATATTAACAGGTCGCGAACATTCATTTTAATTTGTTACAGTTGTGGCCACTGATATTGTTGATGGTATCGTTGACAGACTGGGTACTTCAAGCAAAACCCTTCCAACAAAAGGTTCCGAGTTTTCAGCGATGATTTGCTTTTCACTTCTTCTAGCCCATCTTTCAACTTCTCGACGGCAAGATCCGCAGATGCGTAAATTGGAATTCATTGTATCTCCGAAATATCCAATCGTGTTCAAGTTCTGTTTGGTACTTTTTGAAAGAATTCGCAGAACCCAGAACACACACTTTCAGCTTCAAAATGTTCTTTTGAATCCTTGCACGTATTTAGTTTTTTTTTCAACTGTGAAAAGTATTTGGACTGGTCTCACCATGTTAATTTGATCCTCCAATCCATGGGTTCCGTAGTTCCGAACACATATTTTCTTGCACTGCCATGCCTGGGAGGATGTTCGCGGCTAGTGCTTTCCCCAGGAACCGTTCGCGGCCACCAGTCCAGTCTTGAGCGTATCCAGCGAGGCATCTTTCAAATTAGTCGCAATCTCCGACACTGGCAAAAGACCAGCAGCCGAGCACTTTTGTAAGCGAAAAACTTGCTGATTCAAGGCAACGTCTGCCACCGAATCACCACCAAAACTTGGGGCGGACACATTATCAGCTCTTTCTTTGGCAAATTTGCCAACCGGACCGGGTTAAAACTCGTCCACGGTGACGAATCTCTGAATAGAACTACACGCCGAAAGTGTGGCATCCGAACTCGGAGAACCGGGCTCCCGGGAGGCAATGAAACCGACACCAAACAATGGAACTGAAGCTGCGACATAGATGTTGGAGGTTAAATTCAAGGCCAACTGAATCACTCAAGGTGGACCTTTTTTTTCTTACTTCTTTCTTTTGTCACTGCATGTTTCTATTTTTCACTTGCTATATTCTTCTCTTATTTTTTTAAACAAATTTGGCTTCAAATCTGGACGCCTCAACACAGGAAAAACACGATATATCACTAAATGATAACGTTATGAACACTTGAAACTAAGTTTCAGCACACAAATTAGCAAATTCAAAGCAAAAAAAGTTTAATTCACTGACGAAAAATACGCAGCAAAAGAAAAACTCGTCATGCACGGCCTACAGCGATTCAAAGTGAGTAGCACTTTATCTAAAGTAAAATATAAATAGTAAATTCATAGTATTTTTTTCTTATTAATTTAATTTTTTTTTGTGAATAATAAAATATTTTTTTACAGTGTGTAACAAATCGTTCGTAAGATATATGCTTTTCTATTGATGCGTATCATTTATGCATATTCCTTTTTGAAGTGTTAATCGTGTACAAAACCAAATTTGTAAAATGGCATGTTTGACAACGACAAACAACTGTGCAAAGTTTCAACATAATCGAAGAAGGCCGATCAAAAAAATTAAAAAAAAATCGTTATTTGAAATGGAACTGCTGAGTGTAGCACAAGGGATTTGAGGTAATTGGGGACAAACACCTATTGTAGGGTAATCTCCGGGTCTTGGAACGAAATTGTGTTTTTCAAGTGATATCATAAGAGAAAGGCAAAAATGATGGTATAAGCAAATTGTGTTATATTTAGCCAAGTTTTTCTCCCCCAGGTGTGTAATTATTTTACAATATGCAATGAATATGTTGTCTGATATATCTTATTTTAAAACTGTATTTGTAAAATCGTTCCAACAGTGTTATTGTTTAGCGCCAATTCATCGTACTTGGCTTCGTTGTACAGTACTCTCCATTTCTCGATGATCTGTATTGCGGTATTCCTTCCTATCTGAATCGTTTCATCAACACTGATCCAGATTCATCAACACTTTTTGACCACGAAGTGTTTAGAATCGTATTAATTAGCTTATAATTTGCTCTTTTGATTGTCTATTTCTCCATAATTAAGTTGGTGGAAAGTTGAATCTCTCACTAAGATGTGCTCGTTCCCCCGCTGGCGCTGATGGCGTGCAAAAGCAACAGTACTAAGTAACTAACGGATTTCCACACTACATGGCATATAAGATCGACTCAAATTTAAGTTTAAATTACTCAAACTCTAGAAAACGTAGAAACATTTTCCGAGCCTCATAAATCTTTGCGAATATGGCAAAAATCGACGAAAAATCTACTCATTCTAGAAATATTCATTAAAATTTCACATAACTTTCTTGTGATATCATAATTGAGAATTGCACCACAAAGTCACTTGAACCTTATGTGTCAAATGAAATTTAAGTGATTTATCATTTAGAACTCATGATCACATGAATTTTTTGTGAAATTCAAATAGATTTCATTCGTTTTGATGATGGAAAAATGTTATGTGCATTCCCAGTTGAAAGTACATGAACACCTTTTTCCGTGTACTAATTTCATACTAATCATGGAAATGGCTTATTCTCTCGTATGAAAATATTCTGTTGTACATAATCCGATGAGAGCTTCATCAATGCATCGAGACGTCAAATCAACGAACCAAAAGAAGGAAAAGCTCCTTCGCAGAGACGGCCAAATCCATCTTTATAATGACGTACGAATGCAGGGTCATAGGCGTAGCCAGAGGGGGGCAACTGCTCTCCCCTAAACTCAGCAACACGGCGTTCGGTAAAATGGCGTTCGGTGATATGGCATTCGGCCAAATTTTCCATAGTACATTTTTTTCACCCCTTCCTAGCTCGAAACCTGGCAACGCCCTTGTGCAGTGTTGTTCTTAATCGGGAATCTGCTTTCTATCCCTCAATTTCCTTCATTGAATTGCTCATGCCTCATCATGCATCCAGCAATCGCAAATGTGTTACTTGGTTCTGCATCGTGCGCTTGCAAATACGAACGGAAGGAATTTTAATTTCCGTTTTAATTTCGTTTAATCAGGATTTGTAGGATACGTTTCACTCGCTGCCTGGCCCTGATGTGCTGTGAGCATGGTGGTCTGGCTGCAATGAGCTCGATGCGGTGGATAATCAATACCAAGTTGAAAGAAACTTCTTTCGAGCGGAAAGTCGATGACTGTGACGTTTGTTTCAGATTTTCACAGGCGTTTTCAGGAATGGTAAGCCGTTTTTTTCAAGATTTATTGGTTTAAAAAAAAAAAAACAGATCCGTTCGAAACATTTCACTTCCGGGCAGTGTCTATATTGGAATTTATTGTTATATACAGTTTATCAACTATTCATTGATACACCTAAGCCCCCATGAGCTTTATGAAGAAGGAAGTTTCCCACATCAATTCCGGGTACGCACAAGCAGGGTTGCTTCCACTCACTTGCTATGAAATATTGTTTTTCGGAATTATGAAACCATTGGATGATATAATGATATGTTGTACTTGCAAGTAACAAGAAGAGGATGTGAAGTGTATATTTGACACATAAAACCTGTCAATTTGTGCGCAGTGCATCACAATAAGCGATTTCATGATTCGTGAGCGTTTACTCAGAGTGAGCCAGGTTTTATGTGTCAAACACATATCTCGCGACCTGTTCTTGTAACTTACAAATACTAGTTACCATTGTAACATCTAATGATTTCACAATTACCAAAAAAAAAAACAAATTTTATAGCGAGTGAGTGGCAGCAACCCTGCGCACAAGCAACGACGTGAACATTTTTTCCCCGAAGAAAACTTCCATGATTGATGAATTTTTCGGAAACAAATATGCTGGATGAATGAAGTCTCAGAAAGGCACAGGGAGGAAGACGGTAACAGCCTTGAGTTCAATTTTCTGCTTACCTGTTGATATGCTTTCTTTCTCCAGGAAACTTTCCCCGCTGGGTTTGTCTACCTCTCCTTTCAGGAATTTGCGTTCGTCGTGAACAAATATCGACAGAGTTATGCAGGAAATGCCGAAGTAGAACTGTGAGGAAGAAATGGAAACAAAACAAAAAAGTTTAGGCTCAGAATGCTCCGAACGCTTCGGTCTGGGGGGTGGGTTGTAGGTATGTAGTACATTATGGGAATTTGTACTTTAATCAAATGGATGCCAATTTGGAAGAATTGCTAGCCTTTTAATCGAGGGCGAGAAATCGGAAAATCGGTGGCATACATGAGCGATCAATTTCTGAGTGGAAATTAAACTTTTCTCCTCGAAGCGAGTGTAAAATAGTCGTTACTTGGAAAATTAATTTGCCTTGAGAACAGCTTAGACTTACGAATGTGATTTGCAGGCATTCTTTCACTGGAAAGTACGGCTGGAGCGGCAGGGCAAGCAGTATAAAAACTTCGTCATTCTTGTCATACCGTCTTCATTGTGTTTTGTCGCACTACCGCTGTCGGGTTCAAACGGCAGTCGCCACTTTTGCTGAACTATCGTGTCGATTAAACGTATCAGTTAGAACGGTAATAGTGTGTTGGTGAACAGCAGCAGCAGTTTTAACGAAAAAGATAATTGTCTTCTCTAGGGTGGGTCAAGTTTGTATGGTGGATCACAAACACCTGCCACTGCTTTTGCGATGGGTGTTGAAATTCCTCAACAGCAGTGTCAAATTTTAACGATTTTGGTTATGATCTCGATTTGCGGCATAATTTTAAATTTTGTACCGGAAAATGTATGGGAAACGAATCGAACCTATTTATTTCGTCTTTTTTTTATTTAACGTTGGTCTCTGTTCCGCAATCTAGTGCCAATCACCGACGAACATCGATTGCCATCCAAGGAAGGCAGCTTCCACACCTGCGCACAGTGGCCTAGAACTGTAAAAAGACGGTCAAAAGTCATTATTTCAGGAATCTTGCATTTTAGACAAGTGGTGTCTCCAGGATTGTTTCAGTTGATGATTATCACAGCACACTAGATCGCACTAGGGTCCAAAATTGACCAAAAAACATCAGTATACACACATTTTCTGAATATTCCATCGCAATAGGTTCTGAAGTGGGCAAGTTATTGTTGGTTTTGTAATGAAATACATATTTTTGCCATTTGATAGCAATTTGCTACCATTGTCCACCACTACCTTGACAAAATCAAAGCCGAGCCGATTAATACCGAGAAGTTCAGAATAAACGCACTAGAGACTGCCTATCTGTTTGAAAAACATACCCTTGACTACATGCCATCATCAGTACACTTTGTACGAATTCATGGTGCTGATGTAATGGAGTCACTGGAGCTTGCGATGGGTAGGGTAGAGCGCTACTTCGTCGTAATCGCCCATTTCCGTTCTATCGATCAGAAAAGATCAATAATATCAATTATTTCACCGTGCACAAATCAATAATAGGTTTGTTCCGATGCGTTAGTTCATTAGCTACAACATAAATCCTGTTAGAGCGCATTGTATGAATATTTACGCTCATTGTTCTCAAAACAAAAGAAGCGCTCCTAGCGAATCCCCTTTTTCTACGTTTATCCGTAGGACGAAAAAAATCTAATGGCGTTTCAATGCGTTAGGACGGAATTGAAACTCGTAGAACGAATTTAGAATCAAGAAGCAGTGTTAGATTTTAATCAATATCTCAACAATTGGTGACTCTTTATCAAATCCAACGGTACGAATGGAAAGGTGAATAAATTTAGAAGTCATTTTTGACAGAAATATTCCATTTTTTGTTTAAACTCGTTCAGAAGAGTGAGGTGAAGCGCGGGGTGTGCTTAGTAGGACGGAAATTAGATCAAAAACCCTATATACTCGGAAGAAGCGTTTGAAGCACGGAATAAAAATGTAAGGTCCATTCGAGAGCATTGAACCCGAAAGACTTCTCGCCCATCCACAATGACGGATTTGCTGTATAGGTTAATTTTAACGGGTAGGTAATATACCGGAAAAAAATCAATTTAATAACCATTAAAATATTTTAATGATTTTTTTTAGACCAATGAAATCTGAACTAACCCAAACATTTCCTGATGGTTTGAAAAATTTGTAGAAATTATAATAAATTACAGAAGACTGTTTGAAATTAAACAAGTCATTATTTTAATTGTATTTATTACCTCGGTCTCAATCTGTGCGTTTATAAATGCTAAACAAATCCAAATTGCTATCAAATCTATATTTAAAATAAAATCTACATTTTGGTAATAAAATCAAGAATAACTTGCCTTTTTTAAATTGCAGTGCAGTGTATATTCAGAAAATGTGTGTATACTGATGTTTTAATCATTTTGGACACTACTTGGAAGCAGTAGAGGTTCAAAGAATGTTTTATCTAGGAAAAAATCACTTTTAAGGGGTTTTCCATAAAAAAAAACAACTCATATTATGCACAGTTTGAAAAAGTATCGTAAATTTCTGTTCAATATGATGCACACAAATGGAGCGTCACATATCATATACGTTTATATTATATATCATGTAAAGTTCTGACACATTTCATGCATTGTAACAAATATTGTATACAAAAGCCCATCTTTGTAAACAACATTGTTTACAAGTTGCTCGGTTGCTTGAAATGAAATACAAGTCTACGTGAATGAATGTTTACATCACAATTAAAATTCAGAATTTGTATCTGTGTGCAGCATTTCACTTATAATTCATGTTTCTGCATATTTCTGCAAGAAATTTTGAATGTTTTGAAGAAAACACACTTAAATACTCCTATTCCTGTTGGTTTTGTCGTGGGATGTGGGATTCTATTTTTGGAGCAAAACCACTAAAAACTTACCTATTAAGCGATCTAGTGTGCTGTGATAATCATCAAACTTATGTGTATTAATGTTTTGAACAATTTTGTAGAACATTTCAAACCAGTAGAAGTTTTAAGAAATTAATTTTTAAGTAGAAACTTTTATTAGGAGGTTTTTCACCAAAAACGTTCCATATTTCAATGAGATTAAGAAATAGCCACCTAGTGTCGTCAACAAACTTTCTTATTTTGATGTTTTTTAAAACTTTGCCGAAGACACCGAAGCTGAATATGCATTTTTTGGAAAAATAAATTTTGAATCTCACTTCTAGGAGGATAAATCATTGATTTGACATGGTCAAAAGAAGGGTTTTTTTTATATCCAGAAACAATTCTGGAGACACCACTAGTCTAAAATGCAAGATTCATGAGATAATGACTTTTGACCGTCTTTTCACAGTTCTAGACCACTGTGCTGCGTAGGATATCGCAACCTATTCAAACATACATGGGTCGTGACCAAGGGCTTTACTTCCCTTCCGAAGGAAGACGTGACCAGAGATTTTTATGCCTTAGAAAAATTCCACAGACCTCACTTGGGATTGAACCCAGACCCTTTGGGGTGAGAAAGCAGTCACGTTTACCACTGCACAGACGATTGGTTGTAACTCGGCATTCCGTACTGCGTTTGAAATTTGTATGGAAATTAGTATGGGAAAATCAACTTTTTTGCATTTTTATCTCTAGAGACCACAATTTTGCATGAACCGTGCAACTAAGTATGTATAAATATATTCCAGAAGGTGCCTAACAATTTTGCCAAAGGAAGCTATTAAGTATCTAAAAAAAGTTATAACTATTAAAATATTTATGATTTGAATTGAACACCAAAAATCCCTTTTTCTGCCAACACTGCCGGTGTACCAATGGGAGTCAGATTCCAAAGTGAAATATTTTCGGAGTTTCTTATGAATTATTCAAAAACAATTGCTCTATCTCATATGTGTAGTTTGAGAGGGGGGGGGGGGGGGTTTGGTAATAATATACCCCGCCCACTCACTCATATCAATAGAAGTAAAGTATCAAACTGAAATAACTTCGGAGTTTCTTATCTTATCGATTTGGTATGTTCAGGACGATTTCTTCAAACATATTTGCTCAATCTCATAAGCGTAGTTAGAAATCAGGGGTGGTTTAGTCTATAAGAAGTTTTAAAACGAAAATTGTTGTAGTTGAAATATTTAATATCCACCTGTCCGTTCATTTGTTAGTGAGGAGATGTTGTTTGAATTATTAGTCCAGTTTCTATATTATTTCTATATAAAGCTTTTGTTTGCCATTCGGGCCACCCGCATATCGAAAACACAGAAGTATTTGTACGTCAAAAACAAAAAAATAGTAGAAAACGGAAACCACCAGCTTCGTCTCAGACACAGATACAATCGGATTTCGTTTGTTGGGCTAACTTTAGGTGGGCTACATTTCAGTTGGGCTCTCAAGTCAAACGTCATTTCTAACAGTGCTGATTCCTTTTCGAAATTTCGACCGGCTTCATGCAAAAACCGGCAAATGAGTGGAGTAATGATATAGATTATTTCAATACGATACAACGAGTTGCTTCCTTGATGGTTGTCAACGATATGGCTGAATGAGGTGTGAAACTAATTTCTGACTTATCAAGAAATTAACCGGAGACCTAGTTTAACAGCAATATTTGCTTCAGGGGATGGAACAGCATCGAAAAGAGTACCTTGACAAATCGTAGAATATAATAAAATGAAATATAATCATTACAATCCAATGACATTTGTGTGAATATATCTGACATTGTATACTGCACCAAAAGTGTTACGTGCAAGCCCCTCGTATGCAAGTGAGCCACTGCGGTAACCAACGCCTCGCAGATGACCGCGGTGACGTTTAGATGACAGCCATGTCATATCATGAAGATGTAGCGATGACAGACTGATGATTAGGTGATAGTATAATAAAAGTTTACATTTCGTAAAGAGTGAATGCTATTCCACAATTAGTTCTTTGTAAGATTTTTTCCGTATTTATACTTTACTTAAAATTAACTTAACTATTGGAATTGCAGTATTTATACTTAAGTCTACTTATAAAAATAATATTTGTTCGCTTAAAACTAAGCGGAGACTAAAATGTAAGTGGATTTAAATTACAACTATTGTTCTTAAACTAACCTAATAAAAATTGCAGCTTGAGCAACAACTACTACAAACACAAAAAAAGAGTTTTGCTACAAGACTCCGAACTAAAGCGAACAAAAACTCAAGATTTTATCTTGAAATGACCCGGAGAACGCGTGCCCAAACGAAAGCCAAACAAATGGCAGCAGCTGCGGCTAACCAGCAGAGCCATGGCGTCGTTCAGGGTAATTCTACCATTCCGGCGTCTAACAATGCACGAGAGGCGACAATGGCTGACATTGCTCGCGGAGAAAAGACAGTTGCGGAGGCCAGACGTGCGACGTCAGCGGTCGATGTCGATAATGGAGAAGCCAAAGAGTGTCCTGGATGTGATCGCACAAACAACGCCGAACGTTGTAGGGTGCAGTGCAAAAAGTGTACCAAATGGTATCACCTCACTTGTGCCGATATGAGCAGCGAGACAATGCTAACAGATTTGTTTACGTGTGTTATATGCTTCGCTCGTAATCCTGCACCACCACCGACCTCTGTCACTGGACGATCAAGTACTTCGAGTACACGGAGAGCTAGATTGGCCCGTGAATTGGAATTGCTGGAGGAAGAGAAAAGGATGCAGGAAGAAGGTCAACGGGAACAGCTAGAACGAGATAGGCTGATTAA